CTCCAATCCCTACCATCTTTCATTGATCACAATACCTGTTACTAGACATTCAGTAATATTAAGTGTATGAATGAATGATATATAGGGACTTCAACTCACCAAGGACAGGTGAGATTAATTTTACTCAGCATATTATATGAAATATACTTATAAATTTTAATAAAAGTAAATAACATTTTTTAAAATGAGGTATTAGGCATTTTAATGACTACACTTTATCTTAACAACAAAACAAAAACTATTTTTATAATCCAACCAATTAAAATGGATTATAAAATGATCCTAAATTAAACTATAAAACTGTGCTGTTATTATTATAGCAATATTGACTTGCAATTTCTGTAATTGCTTTTGTAGATTTATTTATAATACTGATGCTAAGTAGAAAAACATATGCTTTTCCCAGGATCTTCCTCTCTTTTTTTTCATTTTATCTCAATATTTTATAATATAGCTATATATAAAAGCCTAAGTGACCATCCAACCGTTCTACTATCCGACCAGTAGCTATGACATGCAATGACCATTAGGGGGCAGACACTCTGACCAGTAGCTATAACATGCACTGACCACTAGGGGGCAGACGCTCAACACAGGAGCTGCCGAGCTTCTGTGACTTGGCAGCTGTGGTTCTAGGTGACGCAACCGGAACCAGAGGGGAGGGAGCCCAATTCTGGGGTGCATTACCCCAAAACAGCCCTCTTGCAATCCAGGACCCCTCAGGAGATGTCGGAGAGCCAGTTTCGGCCCGATTCCCACAGGCCATGCCAAAGGACCCCACCAGTGCACAGATCTGTGTAACGGGCCTCTAGTTTGAAAATAAATTTGGATACACTAACTTTTGAAGTTCTGCACTCCCCCATTCCATTTTCATAAGTTGTACCCATTATGTATTTGTTGCTTTCTTTTTGTTCCATTGCTAATTTAATGGAATTCCAATATCAAATATTTAATCTAATTCCTAAAGAACATAGTACATAAAGATGTTAGGATTACTATATAATTACCAAATGCTTTCACATATATATTTATACATCTGTAGTATTCATTTATCCATATAGGTGTATGAATATATAACTAATATTGAAAACCATGAAGTCTTGTATCAGTCTATTTTAAAAGTTGAAGTGGCAAAATTTCACATGGTAACAGAAAACAACACAAAATAGCCTATACTATTTCTAAAATCAATACCATATTCTTACAGTTTTTCATATAAAATTTTCATATAAAATTTCAGAACAGGTTTTATACTGGCATTATAGAATTACTGAGCCCTCCTTCCCAGAAAAAGGAAATCAGAGTAGATTTTAAGAAATCTATTCCTCTCATTTTCTGCCAAGAGATTTTGACGGGATGTTTCAGCTCTTGGTGACAGTGATGATAATGTGTTTCTTCCATCTGGAATTGTCCTTGGAGAAAATATCCCTATGGAGAATCTTGAAAGACTCATTATTCCCACATTACAAATATGAAAATTGAGGCAGAGAGAAGTGTAATTTTCTCAAATTCATGCAGAAACTCAGAAGTGAAGCCAGGAGTGGAACCCAACTCATGTGGAAAAGATCTAATGCAACATGCAATATCAAAGCTTGCAAAGGTAATTAAAGTGAGTAGTATAATTACCTAAATTGTAGTACAGGAAAATAGTGTCATATTTACAAACCTAATTATATTGAGAAGGAGAGTTACCTGAATGATAGTAATCATATGGATGGAGTTCACATATTTTATATGCTTTACTTTTCTGTCTTGAATGCTTAAAAAAATGGGAGTTTGAAGTATAACAGGCACAAAAATAATTAAAAATAAAAGTACAATCTAGCTAGAGCCAAACAAATGCCGGGTTTAAATGTTGGCAGCAAGTGTACCTATTTCTGTAATCATAGGCAAATCACTTAACCTTTGAGTCTCAACTTCCTCATCTATAAAATAGGAATAGTGTTTAAAATATCTGGGAAGTATATATTACAAATAATACATAAATAGCACCTATTAATATGGTTGCATAGTCATAAGTAAGTATGTGTGGTTATTAGGTAATAATAATACATGCACAAATATCAGCTAGTTTTTAATATATCTTCTTTTACTGTATTTTGAGTTATTCATCAGGTTTTTTCCAAATTTCCTTATTATTCAGTTTTCAAATTGATTAATATATGTATGGGTAATACATTACATGATACAAGATTTCAATTATGGCCTAATAGACCACTGCAAATTCAGAGTTAAATCTTAGTTTAAATATTTTTTGGTACAGGCATCCGAGGAAACTACTAGTTTCGATGGAGTGTTGTGATATGAGTAATATTAAAATAAAAACATGTTTAGAAATTGATATTTCTTTTTGCTTTCTCTTAGCACCATGCTATGAGATTCAGATTGTTTCTGAAATGAAAATGGAGAATATTTGCAATATTCCTGGAGTAGAATAAAACAGAACTATCCAGACCAGATATAAAGACTTATTATAAATTAGAATATTAAAACTGTGGTTTTGTCACATCAAAAAAGCTGTGCATATATGGAAACTTGATTTAGAGCAGAGTCAAACAGTGATCAGTGGGAAATGATCAGCTATTTCATAAATTGTCCTGGAACAACTTGGTATCTATTTGGAATAAAGTAAATTTAGATCTTTTCCTTGAAATAGGTATGAAAACAAACACTTTAGGGATTACAATTACTTTAATTGGAAATGCAAACTTTAAAACTCTTAGAAGAAGACATAGAAGACTTTCTTACTGTCCTTGGCAGAAAGATGGGTCTTCATGAAGACATCAAAGTAATATGCATAACAGAAAATTGATAAATTTGAATATGTGAAATCTTAGATTTTCTGATCATTAAAGGGCACTCAAAGGACTGAAAAAAAGATGCAATAAATTGAGAGACTATATAATATCAGCCATATAACCACAAAGCATTAAATTAGCAGTTAGAACATACTTTAAAAATATATAAAGAATAAATTTAAATTGAAAAGAATTCAATGCAAACCAAATATGCAGAAGCACTTGAGAAAAGAGGAAATGCAAATGGGCCATAAACATTGTAAAGATGCTTTACTTCATTAGTAATTAGGAAATGCAAAATAACATGCTTGGATAACATTTATAATCATTGTATTGGAAAAATGATAACTCCTAATGTTGGCAAATACATCTCTATATATAAAAGCCTACGTGATCTTCCAGCTGTCCAACCGATAGCTATAATGCACAATGACCACCAGGGGGCAGACTCTCAATGCAGGAGCTGCCAAGATGTGGTGACTTGGCAGCTGCAGCTCTCGGGTGATGCACCTGGAACCAGAGAGGAGGGAACCCAATTCCGGGGTGTGTCATCTGAGAACTTCCCTCTTGCAATCTGGGACCCCTCAGGGGATGTCGGAGAACCGGTTGCAGCCCAATCCCTGCAGGCCAGGCCCGGGGAACCCACCAGTGAATGAATTCATGCACCAGGCCTCTAGTGGGTAAATAAAAACTTTTACACATTGGGCTGTGGGAGGTTAAATTGATGCAACTTTGGAAAATAATTTTTCTGTATTATGTTAAGTTGAACATTCACACAACTTGTGACCCATCAATGCAACTCCTGGATATATACTTAGAGAGGTTTGATCATGTTTATCAGAACACAAACACAAGAATATTTATAGCAGCACCATTTATAAAAGAAAAAAAAATGTAGTTCAAGTGTGCATGGACAGGAGAATTAAAAAACGAGTGAATACAGTCCCTTAGATCAATATGGATAGGGCAAGAAGCCTAAAAGACAATCGAACTTAAACAGTACTTTTTAAAGTAACACGTTCTAAAAACTGTTTGTTTGCTTTAAATAAAGACTGGGGGATGATAAACACAAAATGCAATGTGAGAGGACACTTAGCTTAACAAGAATATACAATGATGAGAAATGCAGTATGAAACGAAAAATGTTCCTCCTAAAGAAGACAGTGAAATGATGCCAATATTTTTCTGGTTCTGATCATGGATAGGCACCTAATGGATATTTAAAATTATACATGTATAATTTTAGATAACATTCATAATAATTAAATATCTATATTTAAATGTACTAGGTAAATTCAATTAATATGTTAGAAGGAAAACATCTCTGCAAAGCTGTTGTGAATTATAGAATGTCTCATCTCAGTATTAGTATTTAACAAATATCAGTGAAAAAAAATTTTTATTTTGACCTTAGTTTTAGGAAATTATAGGAATTGCATATTTACAAAGTAAAATAAAAGTACAAAAGGCAGAAAAAAATAGTTCAAAAGAAGGGACTCACTCCGAGGTGCAGTGCTCAAAGAAAGCTCTGGGAAGCAGCCCCGGCCGGGTGCACACAGTGCCCTTTCAGACCCAGCTTCCTCCTTTGTCCCTGAGCATGTGTTAAATTGGTTCAGGAACTGACAGCCAGATCTCAAGTCGAAGAACCTGGGAGAGAGGGAAGATTTTCACCAAGATAATTATTAAAATGTTATAACTGTGGATGGTGCCAGATGGTACTAGCACTATTGTGACCACTTCGTGAGGTATATGTAGTCACTGCGTTGTACATATTATTTATTATGTACAATAATACATACATACAATAATACACCTGAAACTAATATAAAATTGTGTGTCAACTGTAATTGAAAAATACATTTTAAACGATGTTAGCTCTAACTCATAGAAACCCTTGGTAAAGCCAGATACCTGTGAACAACTTAAAACAATAGTTCTTTCTCATCTATTTTTTATATGGTATCTCATAAAATTGACATGTAGCACTTCATATGGACCTTCCGAAAGTTTAAAAAGTATTATCATGAACATGAGATCTGATTAAATTCAGTGTTGGTGTATTTTCATATTCATCCCTTCATCGTGTCTTTGTGTAAGACATTGAGGAACTGTTTTTTCATTGGCAACAAAAAAAAAAGGGGGGAAGTGCCCATTTAATTTTCTTTCTTTCTTTTGCTTGTTTGTTCCTTGTCTTTGTTAAAGGTGAAAGTCTGGTTCCAGAACAGGCGAATGAAGTGGAAGAGAGTAAAAGGGGGACAGCAAGGAGCTGCGGCTCGAGAAAAGGAACTGGTGAATGTGAAAAAAGGAACCCTCCTCCCTTCCGAGCTCTCGGGCATCGGCGCGGCCACCCTCCAGCAGACAGGGGACTCTCTAGCCAATGACGACAGCCACGACAGTGACCACAGCTCGGAGCACGCACACTTATGATACACGCCGTGAGGACCAGCTCCATTCTCAGGAAAGAAGTGTTGTGACGGCAAGCCTTACTCAAACATCGTTTACACAGAGAGATGACTATGACGGTGATTTTTAATATTATTCCATGCAGGCATCTCGAGTCAGTTTCTCATGATTTCCAGAGGGTTTAACACTAAGTGCCACTTATTAAAGATGCTTCCTGGTGAAGATGGAGAAAGGTGAACTCGCTTTGAATATTCCAGATGTGTGGGTGGTATGGCAGCGAGCAGGTATGTTTGCTTTTGCTTGCACTGGAAGTGGAATTGCTATCAAGAGCAAACTATGAGACATTTTCATTCCACCTGCCTCCAGAATGAAGATGCAGAAGATGAACTTGCTTTGAACATTCCAGATGCATGAGGTGATGTGTATGACAGTGGGCAGGTATTGGCTTTTGCTTGCACTGACAATTGAATTGCTTTCGAGAATAAAACATGAAACATTTTTATCCTGAACAACCACAGTGCCTGAAATCACTCTTAAGTGGATAAAAAAATGTATTTTAACTCTGTATATATTACCCTTAAGTCATTTTCCTGTCTTCACTACGTTTAGCAACGCATTCATATTAGCTGATGAAAATAGGCACTGACGATGACAACCAGACCAGCTTCCTGTCTTTATATACACTTTGTCATCCCAGAGACAATCAGCACATGCTTACTTGTGTTCAAGTAGAGAAAAATACATTAGAGTCTGAAAGGACATATTCTTGTACCACAGACAAAACAAATCTTATGTTGCATTTTCTATCAACTGCTGCTAATACATTATTATAAAAGTTACCTAGCTCCTCAATTCTTCCTATCTTATAGCTTGAAAAAAAAAATAGGATCATAGGCAAATCAGTTACCTTGCAGAAAGAGCTTTGTATGACATTGTCTGATTTTATTTCTATAAAATGTTAGCTGTTATGAATATCATTTAATTTACAAGAAAACAGTTTCCCCCTGATTGGTGATGGTGTTAGACAAGTTGCAAAACCAAATTGATTCCTCAAGTTGGTGGACAATAAAATTCTGAATGTCTTCAAATAAAATTCAGTAAAAACATTATTTTTTTCATATATGATGTATTCATGCAAAACAACAATCTTTGTATTTTGTAAAAAACAAAGTGTTTAATAAATGATCCTTTGTAAATAATTTTGGTCTCCCTACTGTGTTTTCCTAAATTTTTACAGGTTTTAATGTAAATACTTAATATATCCCAAGTTCATCTGCACGTATGGGAATCTAGATGATCATAAATTAATGAATCATCTATGTGTATATTTTTGAAAGTTTATAATAAAAAAGCAGTCCTCTAATATCATAGACCATATAGTAATGGGCATACACTAAGCCATTTCCCTGATTTGAGGAATAAGCCAAATAGATTTCTTTGTGCGTTTTATTAAATCAAAGATAAAAGTAAGAAAAAATGTAATATTATTCACCACAATGAGATAAGTAAAATAGTCATACATTTTAAAACCTAAGTATAATATGTGTGAATTAGTCAAATAAGTCAAAATATCCAAGGTTGTTGATGTGAAAATAAGCTAAATAAACTAATAAGCATTCTCAGTACTGATGGACATTGCCAATAAAAAACTCAGATTAGCCCTAGCTGGTTTGGCTGAGTGGATAGAGCGTTGGCCTGCGGACTGAGGGTCTCAGGTTCGATTCCAGCCAAGGGCACATGCCTGGGTTGCGGGCTTGATCCCCAGTGGGAGGCATGTTGGAGGCAGCCAATCACTGATTCTCATCATTGATGTTTCTCTCTCTCCCCCCCTTCGTCTCTGAAATCAATCAAGAAATACATTTTAAAAAAAACCAACTCAGATTATATTAACTTGACATATTTTGTGTCATGCATGATTGCACATGCATTGGATACCTATGTCCTGCTTACAACTTTATAACATTGTTTTTCATTTGTTCCATATTTTAAGCAGAAATGTATGGAAAGATACAGCAGCTCCCCCCAATCAATTAGAAACAGAGAATAATGGTGAATGAAATTTTCCCCAGACCTTATTATTTTATTGATTTCATTTGTTTTAGAACAATGATACTGATGAAAAATGACTTTAATTTACTTAGTCTAGCATGATATGTAGACAATATTCAAGACATGAAATAACCAGTTGTATCACATTTTCCCTTTGTGTAATAAATTTTATCACAGCAGTTAGCAATATTTCTGTTAGCCTTGGAGGGAGGACTATTCAGATTAACATCTTCCAGGCATAAAACAGACACTCTCCTATCAATCACTTGAATTAGTTAGAAGTGTATTTGTACTGATGACATCTATGTGGGTGGACTGACTTTCTTGTTGTAGGATTTAAATTCAAAACATCTTGACAAATTGGAGAAGTGGGAAAATATAAATTGAATTGAGTTCAATAGGGACCAAGTGGAGGATAATTCATTTCGGCAGGAAAATAATTTCCAGAAATAAGAGGAAGGGGCCTCTTAGAAGCAGCTAAAGAGGGAGCCTAAGGATTGTGGTCAAATAGAATGATATAGAAGAATTACAACTTAGTGTGATAAATGAAATAGGAAAAAGTGATTCTGAATATATTGGACATTAAGGAAATGTGAAGCATTTGTTAGAGAATTGTGAGCTATTCGAAGGTGATGTAATGAAATTTAACTCTAGAGAACAGGAAGAACCACCAGGTAGGACTGGCCACTTCCGACCAAAAGGGGGCATCATTTTATTCATAATGGATTAAAATTACCCACCACATAAGAGGCTAGAACACCTTAGCACAATTATGACAAAATTACAAGTAAACAATCAAGCTAGATTAATTTTAATTAGAATTGGCAGTCTTTTTGGAATGTTTTAATATTTCCCATCTTAAAAGTGGTTCATAGGTTTGCTAGATGATACTTCAACATCCTTCTGGAATTACACTCCTACCAGGAAATTTAAGATTTTCTCATGTACTATCAAGTTTAATTCACTCCAGAAATGACAAAATTTAAAAGAACTCTGTTTTTATTCTATACTGGGATTCTGGCTCCTTATGATATCGTTTTATATAATGCCCTTTTCATATAATTCTGTCACAGACTTAGTAGCTCTGTGGAAATTTATATAGCATGAAAGTACCTTCCTCTGAAAATAGTATGGAATCTTGGTTAGAGTCATGTTTTCCAGCAGGATTTACAGGGATGAACACTACAAAGTTTTTCCAAAAGTTGATCCACATATTTTTAACTCATTGTTAACATGACCCCAATTACCTCTTACTTCCCATATTTACCTAGGGTTGGCAGCGTGTTTCCCCCTTCAGAGACTTAAGACCCAAGCTTGCTATTGTGTGTGTGTGTGTGTGTGTGTGTGTGTGTGTGTGTGTGTACAAACACTAAATGCACTTAAAATAATTCCAACCATAGTTTTAATAACTTTTTAATGACATTACATAAAATACACGTGGAATGACTTGTGAAATTCAGTAAGGTTTTCCTTAGGAGAATAGAATTAAAGGGCAGAGAGAACAAAGTAAATGATAAAAATATATATTTTATGTTTTTAATGATACTGGTTTTCAAGAACATTTTAAAAAATTGCTGGCATATCTATAGTGGCAAATGCTAATTTCCTTTTCAGAGGAGTTTGGAGGTAATTGCAAAGCTAGAATAAAATCAGTAACAAGATGGCAGAGTATTCTAAGTTAGTGATGAGAAAGATTTAGTGTAAAATATTCTCTCCTTTATTTGTAAACATACCTAGACTGGTGAGTCTAAATAGTATACAGATTTTAAAAAATACCTCAGTTATGCTGTGGCCTGTTTCCTAATAAATTGGTGTTAAAGTAATTAAGTTAATCTTTGAGGTGAGTGGTAGTTAGATTAGAATGAGATGTTTATCAAACACAAATACTCAGTTGGTATAGTTTTTTTTAACTATTTGAGGAATAATTGCCTTTTAATCAGTTGCTTTAATTGTATTCTTTTATTGATGAAATGTTAAGCACACAGTATATATTTAAAGCTGAACTAGTAATTGTGGGTAAATTATTTGCTTGATTTTGACTTTCTTTAGGTGAGAGCTCAATTTTATTTAAATTTGTAAATTATTTGGAATGAAATAATTTTTTATCTCATTTCTATATTATCTAAGATAATATTTTAGTATTTTAAAAAATTTAAAAGTGAAAAGAGTGCATGTTATCTAAAATGGTAAGATAAAAGGATACTTCTTAACCCAAGTGCCTATCAATAGTCAACTGGTAAGGGGGAGAGATCAACCAAAGTACTTATATGCATGCATATAGGCCTAACCAATGGACACAGACAACAGGGGGGTGAGGGCATGAGTGGGGGAGATGGGTGGTACTGTGGGGATAAGGACACATATGTAATAACTTAATCAATAAAGAAATTTTAAAAAAAAGTCAACTGGATAAAGAAGATGTAGTACACATATACAATGGAATATTACTCAGCCATAAAAAAGAATGAAATTTTAAGATTATTAACACCATGGATGGACTTATAGGGTATTATGCTAAGTAAAATAAATCAGACAGAGAAGCCAAATATCTGATCATTTCACTATATGTGAGATCTAAAGAACAAAATAAATGAACAAACAAAGTAGACTCATAGATACAGAGAACAGACTGATGGTTGCCAGATGGGAAGGGAGCTGGGTGAAAAATGTGAAGGGATTAAGAAGTACGAATTGGTAGTTATAAAAAAGTCACAGAAATGTAAAGTACAGCATAGGGAATATAGTCAATAATATTGTAATAACTATGTGTGATGCCAAGTAGGTACCAGAATTATCAGGGGGGTCACTTCAGAAATTATATAATTATTTGACCACTATGCTGTACCCCTGAAACTAATCCTATATAATAAAAGCATAATATGCTAAGTTTCTGACCAATTGGTTGATTTTTCAGTCCACCACTTGACCAGTTGTTATGACATGCACTGACTACCAGGGGGCAGAAGCTCTGACCAGTAGGTTAGCTTGCTGCTGGGTCTGGCGTGATCAGGACTGAGCAAGAGGACCGGACATGCCCTGGGTCCCTCTCATGGCCCCTCTCCAGCTGGTCAGCCCCCATCAGGCCCAATCAGGACTGGGCAATCACTGGCCACACCGAGGGACCCCACCTGTGCATGAATTCATGCACCGGGCCTCTAGTATAAAATAATATTGAATGTCAACTGTCAATATAAAAAATAAAACTTACATGTTCAATAGAAAAAGACAAATTGGCTCATGACATTACACATTTTATAAAAGTCACATCAACTTAATTTCTTTTAGGCAATGGTTCTCAACCTTCTGGCCCTTCAAATACAGTTCCTCATGTTGTGACCCAACCATAAAATTATTTTCGTTGCTACTTCATAACTGTAATGTTGCAACTGTTATGAATCCCAATGTAAATATCTGATATGCAGGATGGTCTTAGGTGACCCCTGTGAAAGGGTCGTTCGGCCGCCAAAGGGGTCACGACCCACAGGTTGAGAACCGCTGTTTTAGAAGAATTCATCATATCCGAGTTCACTCCCCTCTCATTCAGGTCTACATTCCCGAATCCCCTTGCCTGGAATGCTCTTTCACCATATAGATCTCCTTCTTACTACCTCATTTCCAAGGTGTTCACTTCCTCATTCAGGCCATCCCAGATCTTCTAAAATCAAATGGCACCACCTGTCACATTCTACCCCTTTAAGTGCACTTTTTTTCTTCTTAGCTGTTAGGTGAGTATCTGCCAATTTCTTCTACCATTGATTGCAGGCTTCATAAGTGCAGGAACTCTGTTCGCTGTGTTCATTGCAATGAGTCTTGAACAGTCTCTGGAGGCTCCACCACCAGCTGATATGCTGAGTTTGTGTGAATTATAAAAGAGTTACTTCTGCCTCAAGATATTAGACTGCCCACACCTGGTGACCATGGTGATCATTGTCACACGATATGCTAATTGTGAAGTGAATGACACCCCCTGGAGGTATTCAATGCATAATTTTCACAATTGCAAACACTGATTCTGAGCTTGACATGTTGTAACAATCAATAAATATTTGTTGAATTAATGCCTGAATAAAATGATATAAGGTCCATTCAAA